CACCCCCGATCGCCCGGGAGTCGTCATCAGTTACAGGGAGAGAGAGGCTGGTTGGGGGCGGGGAGGAGTTAAAATTCTACCCCCTCCTACGCCACATTCTGGTTTGAATAGCACTAGTTCTGTGTAGCCTCTGGAGACAACCATTCACGAATTCAGGAGCATCTGGATGAGACAAGAGAGAGAGAGAGAGAGAAAGGGGATTGTGTGCATTTGTGTGAAGGAGGATAAAGGAGAAAAGAGAGAGAGAGATGGAAGGAGGGTGGGTGGGTGTTGGTGAGAGAGAGAGAGGCTGTCCCTGAATGGAAGGGCGCAGAGGCAGGGGGGGATGGGGTTGCCAGGCCTGGGCTGGAGAATGCCTGGATCTAGGGGAGGGCGGGGTTTGGGGAGGGGAGGGGCCTCAGCCCGGCACAGGGGGCTGGCAGCCCAGCGGGAGGACCGCCCGTTCTTCCCCGGCGTGACGCGGCCCTTCCCTCCCAGGTCCCGGACATGGCCGAGATCCAGTCCCGCCTGGCCTACGTGTCCTGCGTGCAGCAGCTGGAGGTGGTGAAGAGCAGCGCCTACTGTGAATACATTCGCCCTCCCATCGACCGCTTCAAAACCATGGACTTTGGCAAGTTCGACGAGATCTACGTAAGTCCCCCGGGGGCCGGGCTAGGCCGCTTCCGGTCGAAACACTTGGAGGGACAAAAGCTCTTTTAAATCTCTGTCTCAGGGGTCTGCTCATTTCCCCCCAAATTGGAAGCCATTTCCCTCATCTCTGACATGTGGCGACTCTCTCTCTGCTCACTTGGTGGTCGAGGAAATGCCCCGGGAGCAGGGTCAGCGATCCTTTCAGTTTGTTCTTCCTGATTATAATCCAAGGTTACCTTGTGAAACCGAAAACTGTTGCTGGGGCCTAGCCCTGGTGGCTCCTGAATGACTCCGCCAGGTCGGAAGCAGTGATTGCGGCTGACCCGCTGTTTCCCGAGCCCCCCCCCCCTGAAACTCCCCCCCCCCCCCCATTCTAAGATTGCAGGGGAAGGAGGTGAGTGAAGGGAGGGGGCATCCAGCGGTGTGTGGTGGAAAGCTGACCCTGGCCCCAGACTCTGCTTTATTTGTGATTTCAGCAAGACAAGACTCCAGACAGCCTCAGCTCTGTTAAATGGCACGCCATTGCCACACCCAGACACACCCCACTCCCAGTGGCAGGCTATCCACATCACTTTGCCACTAGATTGGTTCCTTCCGGAATCCTGGCGGGCTATTGTTCTGGTGCTCCAAGCTCAGCCCATCTCTGGGGTGATTCAGTCAGGGATGATTCCGTCCCAGTGCATAACACAGGCTTTTCATTTGCACAGGCATTTTGCCATTAATGATGAAAGGCAGACGGGCATATTTCTGCCCCAGCCCCCACTCCGAGGGAAATCCCCCCCCCGCCAGGTGGGTCCTGAGCCCTGTGGCATCCCCCCCCCCCAGACAGTGGGCTGCCCCGTTTCCCCCACTTAAAGGGAATAAGAAGTAGGACAAAGGGCTCGAGGAGACTGCCTGCCTGCCTCTGTGTCCCGGCCCTGGTATTCCTTGGAAGCCTCGTATCCAAGTACTTGTGCCACCAGGGTCGGGGCCCTGCTTGGCTCCCGAGATCTGACGAGGCCGGGCTTGCCTGTGCTATCCAGGTCTGGACTCCCCAAGTGACCCCCTCTTGGGAATTTCCTGTAGACCCGGAACACATGTTCATTTCTAAAAATACTATTTCTGGGCTGTGCTGTTGGCTGTATGAATCACCAAGCCATATCTGGGTTGCCTCGTCTTTGCTCTCTTCCACAGGATGTGGGTTACCAACATGGAAAAGTGGTATTTGACGGCTGGTGTCGTGGGGATATCATTGAGAAAATGGTAAAAGACCGGCATTCCGCAGACTTCTATGAGAGCAAACGCATGGATGTAAGTGATGGGTGGGGAATGGCCCCTCCAGCCAACTGGAGGAGATGGATATCCCCCTTCCGACCCCTTTTCTATCCCCTTTTTGGCCCTGGGCTCCTCTGAGACGACAAGGGAAGGAGGGTAGTTCCAGGTTGGGGGGGGGGGCAGCCGTGTGGGTCTGAAGCAGCAGAACACATTCAGAGTCCAGCGTGGGCACCTTTAAGACCAACAAAGGTTTATTCGAGGGAGGAGCTTTTGTGTTGTTGTTGTTGTTGTTCAGTCGCACAGTCAAGTCCGACTCTTCGCGACCCCATGGACCAGCTCCCGCCAGGCCTTCCGGTCTTCCGCCGTCCTCTGAAGTTGGCTCAACTTCATGTTCGTTGAATCTGGGACACTGTCTAACCATCTCATCCATTGCCATCCCCGGCTTCTTTGACCTTCAATCTTTCCCAGAATCAGGGTCTTCTCCTCCAGTGAGTGCTCCCTTCTCATTTGGTGGCCAAAGTATTTGCGCTTCAGTTTCATTATCTGGCCTTCCAGGGAACAGTCAAGGTTGATTTCTTTTAGGATTGACTGATTTGTTCTTCTTGCAGTCCAAGGGACTCTCAAGAGTCTTCTCCAGCACCCTAGTTCAAAAGAATCTATTCTTCGGCACTCGGCCTTCCTTATAGTCCAACTCTCGCAGCCATACATGACTACTGGGAATACCATTGCTTTGACCATGCGGACTTTTGTTGGCAGGGTGATGTCTCTACTTTTTATCATGCTGTTTAGGTTCGCCATCGCTTTCCTCCCAAGGAGCAGGCGTCTTTTAATTTCATGACTACTGTCACAGTCTGCAGTGATCTGGGATCCCAGGAACGTGAAGTCTGTCACTACTTCCACAGCTTCCCCTTCTATTTGCCAAGGAGTGATGGGGCCGGATGCCATGATCTTAGTTTTTTTGATGTTGAGCTTCAAGCCCACTTTTGCGCTCTCCTCTTTTACCCTGAGCAAGAGGCTCTTGAGGTCCTCTTCACTTTCTGCCATCAGAGTGGTATCGTCTGCATATCTGAGGTTGTTGATCTTTTCCCCAGCAATCTTAATGCCCGCTTGTGATTCATCTAGGCCAGCATTTCGCATGATGTACTCTGCATATATATTAAATAAGCAAGGCGACAATATACATCCTTGTCGTACTCCTTTTCCTATGCTGAACCAATCAGTTGTTCCATATCCGGTTCTAACTGTCGCTTCTTGGCCCTTATACAGGTTTCTCAAGAGACATGTGAGGTGGTCTGGTACTCCCATCTCTTTAAGGCCCTGCCATAGTTTGTTGTGATCCACACAGTCAAAGGCTTTAGCATAGTCAATGAAGCAGAAGTAGATATTTTTCTGGTACTCTCTTGCTTTCTCCATAATCCAGCGAATGTTGGCAATTTGATCTCTAGTTCCTCTACCTCTTCGAAACCCAGCTTGTACTTCTGGTAGTTCTCTATCCACGTACTGTTGAAGCCTAGCTTGTAGGATCTTGAGCATGACCTTGCTAGCGTGTGATATGAGTGCAATTGTGCGATAGTTTGAACATTCCTTGGCATTGCCCTTCTTTGGGATTGGAATGTATACTGACCTTTTCCAATCCTGTGGCCACTGTTGCGTTTTCCAAATTTGCTGGCAAATGGAGTGCAGAACTTTAACAGCATCATCTTCTAAGACTTTGAATAGCTCAGCTGGAATACCATCACCTCCACTAGCTTTGTTGTTAGTAATGCTTTCTAAGGCCCATTTAACTTCACATTCCAGGATGTCTGGCTCGAGGTCAGTGATTATACCGTCGTGGTTGTCAAGGACATCGAGGTCTTTCTTGTATAGTTCTTCTGTGTATTCTTGCCATCTTTTCCTAATCTCTTCTGCTTCTGTTAGGTCCCTACCGTTTTTGTCCTTTATCATGGCCAGCTTTGCATGGAACGCTCCCTTGATTTCTCCAATTTTCTTGAAGAGATCTCTAGTCCTTCCCATTCTATTGTTTTCTTCTATTACTTTGCACTGTTCATTCAGGAAGGCCTCCTTATCTCTCCTTGCTGTTCTCTGGAAATCTGCGTTCAGTTGGGTAAATCTTTCCTTTTCGCCTTTGCCTTTCGCTTTCCTTCTTTCCTCTGCTATTTGTAAAGCCTCATCAGACAGCCACTTTTCTTGCATTTCTTTTTCTTTGGGATGGTGGTGATTGCTGCCTCCTGTACAATGTCACGAACCTCCGTCCATAGTTCTTCAGGCACTCTATCTATCAAATCCAGACCCTTGAATCTATTCTTCACCTCTACTGTATATTCATCAGGGATGTGATCTAGGTCAAACCTGAATGGCCTCATGGTTTTCCCGATTTTCTTCAGTTTAAGTCTGAATTTTGCAATGAGTAGCTCATGATCTGAACCACAGTCAGCTCCAGGTCTTGTTTTTACTGACTGGATAGAGCTTCTCCATCTTTGACTGCAAATTATATAGTCAATCTGATTTCGGTGTTGCCCATCTGGTGATGTCCATGTGTAGAGTCGCCTCTTAGGTTGTTGGAAAAGGGTGTTCGCTATGACCAGTGTGTTCTCTTGACAAAACTCTGTTAACCTTTGCCCTGCTTCATTTTGCTTTCCAAGGCCAAACTTGTCTGTTATTCCAGTTACCTTTTGACTTCCTACTTTAGCATTCCAGTCCCCTATGATGATGAGGACATCATTTTTTGGTGTTAGTTCTAGGAGGTGTTGTAGGTCTTCATAGAACCGGTCCACTTCAGCCTCTTCTGCATCAGTGGTTGGGGCATAGACTTGGATTACTGTGATGTTGAATGGTTTGCCTTGGAATTGGACCGATTTCACGTGTGCATTCACTCTTTTTCAAATACGTTGGAAATGTGTTCCATGTGTTAATCATTCGTCACCCAAAGAGTGATGAACACATGGAATTCACTGCCAAAGGAGGTGGTGGCAGCTACAAGCATGGACGTATTCAAGAGAGAATTGGATAAAGAAGAAGAGAAGAGATTGGATTTATACCCCATGGCCCTTCACTACCCAGAGGAGTCTCAGAGCGCCTTACAAGCTCCGTCCCCTTCTCCTCCCCACAACAGACACTCTGTGAGGTAGGTGGCGCTAAGAGAGCTCTTGACAGAAGCTGCTCTTTTTCAAGAACAGCTGTGCCAGAACTATGGCTTGCCCAAGGTCATCCAGCAGGTGCAAGTGGAGGCCACACAGTATCCATAGGAACTCTCAGTCTGGGGCAAGTGATGCACTGTATTCTTGATGCCTGGGGGGTGGGGACAACAGTGGGAGAGCTCCTAGTGTCCTGGCCCCACTGCTGGACCTCCTGATGGCCCCTGGTATTTCTGGCCACTGCGTGATACAGAGTGTTGGACTGGATGGGCCATTGGCCTGCTCCAACATTGGCTTCTCTTATGTTCTTATAAGAGGGAATTGGACAAGCATATGGAGCAGAGGTCCATCAGTGGCTATTAGCCACAAGGTATAGATAGGGACTCTGGGGCAAGGGATGCTCCGTATTCTTGGTGCTTGGGGGGGGGAACAGTGGGAGGGCTTCTAATGTCCTGGCCCCACTGCTGGACCTCCTGAGGGCACCTGGTATTTTCGGCCACTGTGTGACACAGAGTGTTGGAGTGGATGGGCCTTTGGGCTGGTCCAACACTGGCTTCTCTTATATTCTTATGTCTGGGGCAAGGGATGCTCCGTATTCTTGGTGCTTGGGGGGGGGAACAGTGGGAGGGCTTCTAATGTCCTGGCCCCACTGCTGGACCTCCTGAGGGCACCTGGTATTTTCGGCCACTGTGTGACACAGAGTGTTGGAGTGGATGGGCCTTTGGGCTGGTCCAACACTGGCTTCTCTTATATTCTTATGTCTGGGGCAAGGGATGCTCCGTATTCTTGGTGCTTGGGGGGGGGAACAGTGGGAGGGCTTCTAATGTCCTGGCCCCACTGCTGGACCTCCTGAGGGCACCTGGTACTTTTGGCCACTGTGTGACACCGAGTATTGGACTGGATGGGCCTTTGGCCTGATCCAACGTTGGCTTCTCTCTTATGTTCTTATGGAAAGGAAGCTGGAGTTCTTTTTCAAATATATTGGAAAGGAAGCTAGAGTTCAAGCTTATAGACAGAGGCTGAACAGCAAATGAACATGTAGCACAATGAAGATGCTTTAAGATATGCGAAGACAAAACTAAATCACAGGATAAAGTTACAAGGTCAACAGTCGTTTTGATTTAATTAAGGGGAGGGAAAGGACAGCGGAGCAATAAATATGTCAGAACACGGGATGGAGGTGAGGAGGCCTCTTCTCTGAGGGTGGGAAGTAAACTGAGACCCACCAGTCATCTCCTCTCAGGCGTGGAGGTCACTTAAGAGCATCTTTCTTTCTTTCTTCTTTGGGATGGGTGCAGTGGCATGTCAGCAAAACGTCCCAATATCCCTTGCATTACATTCGATATTCTAATATATTATTCTGAAAAAGAAACAGACTAAAAATACACCAGAATACAGAGGGCGTCTACTAGTCCTTCTTGCTGAGAATACATATGTGTGAGGGTTGTGAGTAAGTGAGCGTATGTGAGGGCTGAGAGAAGGGAAGGAGGGATCGTCAGTGGCGGGTCTGCTCTTTCCTTTTTGCTGGGAAGAATTCCAGGAGTGCTCAGATTACTTGCGGATATCCCTGAGCCGAGCTGAAGTGGCTCGTTTCAGGTGTAATTTTGGCTCAGAGAGATCAGTGGTCTGACCTACCTCGATAGACGACCCAAGGGCCTTACTTGGTAGAGGGCAGCTTCCGCCTCCGTTCAGCCTCCATGCGAGGGAGCAAGAGGAGCCCTCGAGCCAGCCGGACGGCTCCTGCATCCAAGCACAGCTCTCCCACCTCTCCAGCGCAGCCATCTGAAAGAAAGAAAGAAAGAAAGAAAGAAAGAAAGAAAGAAAGAAAGAAAGAAAGAAAGAAAGAAAGAGAGCTCCCCCCACCCCGGTGCCCTCCAAAGACGGGGTGGGGCGGGGGGGCTGCCAGTGGCCGTCGGCTGCTCCACCAGCCCCGCAAGCATAGCCAGCGGGACTCCATGCGCTGCTGCTGCTGCTGCTGCTGGAGAGACTTGGTGGCCAGGGAGGGCATATCCGTGCACGCCTCACTGGAGCTCCCGCTCCATCTCCCAGAAGTGTGTCACTCTCTGTCACCTTCCCCTCTCCTGGTCCTTCCAGCAGCTTGCCCACTCAGCCTGGCGCTGCTGCTGCCACTCTTGTCCAGCTCCCTTTTGGCACTCTCTCTCTCTCTCTCTCCCCCTCCCCGTACAACATGCGCCATGCAAGGTGGCGGTGGTGGTGGCGGCGGTGGCCCCCCAGGTCCTGCCTCTGCTCCCCAGGCGTTCATTCGCCTTTCCCCTGACTCTTCCCTGCCCCTCCATGCTGCATTACCCCCCACCCTCACCTTCAGCCTCACTTGGCTCTCTCAGGGGGCCCCCAAAGAAAGACCACTCACTCCTGGGTGGTTCCCACATTCCTGCGGAGGCTCCCTCTTCCTCGTGTGTGCCTCCCTGCCTCCTTTTCCATAACCGCCACTGCTCCCCCCTGCGGAGCTGCCCCTGGGCTGCCTTGACGTGCGTGCTGGACGGGGTGCGTGTGTGTGTGTGTGTGTGTGTGTGTGTGTGTGGAATACACTCAGCCTGACCCCTGATGAGATTGTGCCTGGTGCCTTTCTGCCCTGCCCTCCTGGCAAGGGACTCGGGGCGATGTGCCCGGCTCTCCCTTCTCCGGGTCATCTTCCCATCAGCATCCTTTCACTCCCACCAGGATTGGGGGGGGTTGTGACTGGCTGTGGCCCCCAGCAAGCGTCATGTATGTTCCGGAACGGAGCCTGAATGTGGGTCTTCCCAGGTCCCAGTCTGACACTCTGTGGTCACTCCACCACACCAACCTGCACGGCCACCAATTCAGTGGCTTCCTCCGAAGCACCCTCCCCCCTTCTCTCTCGTGTCCGTGTTTTCTGTCTTGTAACGCCTTCTGGTCTGTAATTCCGAAAGCCATTTGACCCACCCTCCCACTGCACTGCTGGTACACTCCCTCCCCTCCCCTCCCCCAATGCCCGCCCTCCCCTGGCGGTCTCCACTCCTGCTCCCGTGCGGGCGGAATGCCTGTGGGCCAGACTAGAGGGGGCGGGGTCGGTAGGTCAGACCCAGGGACGCTGCTGCTGGTTTAAATAATAGTAATAGTGCTAGGTGGTGGGTGGAGGCCCTGTTGTTGCCCCCGAGGGAGAGGGGCAGTTGTGAAGAGTCACAGCGATGGGCACTGAGCAGCTCAGCCTGTCACGCCGCAGGTCTGATCAGGGTCGGGCCCTTGCAGCATTTTAAAATTGCTTTAAAATGGCACCCGTGGATGTCAACACATGTAGCTTGGCCAGTTTGGTGTAGTGGTTAAGAGCGCGGACTCTAATCTGGGAGAACTGAGTTTGATTCCCCACTCCTCCTTGTCAGCTACGCTGCCGTATTGTTTATGGACTGAGGGAGCACCCGCCTGACCTGTGTACAAGGGGGTGCCACATTCCTTTCCCTGTCTCGCTTCTCCTGTTATCTGTAACCTTGTACCACCGTCTAGTTGTAGGGTCTTCATATTAATCAGCCGTGGGACTGGTTTCGTTTCCCAGCTCAGCTGTTTTGTGCCTTCGGTTATTCCTTCCCACCCATGGGAATCAGGCCGATTGGCCCATGGGTGGGTTGGGGGGTCGTTTGTATATCTCTGTAAGCTTTCCCTTTTGAATCATTCCTAACAGTGCTTGTGTTCCTGACCAATAGTACTGACAATAAAGTATATGCTTCCTGGAAGACTGTTCTCCAGATGTTTGACTGTTGGACCTGACCTTCTGTTAGGAATCTCTCTCTCCTTTTTACCCGTCTCTCTCTCTTTCTCTGAGATGAGCGGGCAAGAGGAGAAAACCATACCAACACCGACTGGGAGTGAGGTTCCTACAACCCAGCCTGATTTTCTGGTGACTACCGCAGACCCAGTAACGACCGTGGGGGTCGGGACAGTCCTGAACACCATGTCCACCCACACCTTCCTGACCCCGAAAGCGTTGGGGCGGACATATGCACCGGGGTCTATGCAGTGGGGCCAGTTCAACCCAGACTCGATGGAGGGGACGTTTGTCCTCACGAAGGACCCCAGATGTGACAGCCATTTTGATGTCAAAGCCCCGTGGGAGGGGAACTGTATGGGGTGACGTCGGAAGCCGCAACCAAAGATTGGGTAAGTGGGTGGTCGAAAATCCACAGCGGTCGCATATCTAGTGAGGAGGAGACCAATCTGGCCCACTGGCTAGAGATGTTGGAACGAACCCATCAACAAATGGTGCAGGAGTTTGAGGAAGTGATCCTCTCCATCCCAGAGATGGTGGTGCGAGTGATTCAAGCCGAACGTCAGGCGTTGCAGCCTGCCCCACCACCAGCACAGGTGCTTCCCCCTGTCCTTGCTGGTGGAGCAGGACAGCCAGTCCCGGGGGGGGGAGCTCCGCAACTCCCCAGACCTGCGGGACCACAACTGCCAGTGCCAGGGCCCCCGCAACTGCCGGGTCCAGTGGGGCCGGACCCAGGGAGGTGGCTTAGGAACCAGATTACTCCCCGGTCGAAGGATCTACTCGAGGCAACCTTTGATGGTGAGCTGGAGAACCTGACTTAGTTCGTGATCCGAGACATGAAATTCATGGAGAGGTGCAGCCACCTGTTCCCCGATGACGGCAGTAGAGTGGATGTCATTGCTTCCTGCCTGCGAGGGGCCGCAGCTACTTGGTATTTAGGCTTGCACACCTCCCGCGGTCCTGAATTAAATAGTGTGGACACTTTTATGTGGGCGTTGCATGCCCAGTTTGAGGATCGCAACACTGGCCTGAAGGCCCGTGCGTTCCTCCGCACCCTTAAGTAAGGGAAGAGGTTAGTCCGTGCCTATTCGACCGAGTTTAAGTGGCACGCCGCCAAGATTCAAGATTGTCCGGACCAAGTGCTAGCTGAATTATACCGGATCGGATTAAACTCCGAGATCTGGGAAACAGTCCTCCGCTCGGTAGATCCGATCTCCTTGCTGGCCTGGATTCAGGAAGTGGAGTGTGCGGAGGGCCATCTTAACACCTTACGCATAGACAGTGGGTCATATGGGGGGAAGACCCCGCCGCCCCGGAACCCCAAATGGAAAGCTACCCACCCCCCTGAGGGTCTCCGAGACCAACGCATGAAACGGGCTGTGCCTTCGATGTGGTAAAAAGGACCATTTCACCGCTGACAGTCCGAGGACGGGAATTACTGGGAAAACGGAGTTACCCAAAGGTCGACTGGGAACCCCAGAGAAAAAACAAGCAAGCAAACCAAAGTTTGCCAAAGCTTTACAAGCCATGCTGGAAACTGCCAAGGACAATTCCAGCGAAGACGAGGATGGTGAACCGGCGGGAAAAGGCCAGGTCCTGTTGTAAGCGGTGCTACACAGCAGGACCCAATCCCAGAAGTGCCAAATGTGGTGAGCAGCTACCCTCCCCTCTTTTTCGTGTCTGTGACACTCATGAATCCCGCTATGGGAACTCATATCCAAGTCAGGAGCTTAATTGACAGGGTGTGGGAGGGATTTGATCAATCCATCCTTAGTCTCCAGTTTAGAAGCAGCGGTAGTGCGGCTACCAGAACCACTAATTTTTACACAGATGGATGGATCCTCCATGAAAGAACCCTGCCAGTTTCAGACTGTACCGCTGAGACTGGGGGCAGGCCTTTGTCATCACCCCAACGGCGCGGTTCCCCTTGGTATTGGGGAGCCCCTGGCTGCACAGTCACAGCCCATATATACGTTGGGATAAGGGGACGGTGCAGTTCATCTCCCCTAAGTGCCAACAGCATGTTTGGAACCTAGAATGGGCCCCCAAACCGGTAGTTGACTCTCCCCACGCCTGTTTGGCAAAGGAAGAGCTCGCCTCCATTCCTCCCGAATACCACAATTTGGCCAGGGTTTTTGAAGCTGAGGAAGCTGACGAACTTCCCCCCCCCCCAGGCAATTGGACTGTAGCATTGAACTGGTGCCAGGGCATAAAGTTCCTAAAGGCCAGATTTATGTGATGGGCCCAGCAGAGAAAGATGAACTGCATAAGTTTATTGACCAAAATTTAGCCTGGGGTTTTATCCAGCTGGCCTCATCCCCTTTTGCAGCCCCCGTGCCATTTTGGAAAAAGAGGGATGGGGGCTCTGCTTATGCACAGACTATTGGGGCCTGAACGCCGTCTCGTCTACCAATGCCTACCCAATGCCGCTCATCAAGGATTTGCTAGGCAAGGTTTCCAGGGGTAAAATCTTTTCCAAGCTGGACCTCCGGGACGCATACTTCTGCGTGCGCATAAAAGAGGGGGATGAATATAAGACTGCTTTTAACACCCCCCTGGGCCAGTTTGAATATTGGGTGATGCCATTCAGGCTCCAAGGGGCACCGGGAGTGTTTATGAACTTGATAAATGAGGTGTTGCACAAGCATTTATTTAAGGGGGTCCTGGTGTATCTAGATGATATCTTGCTGTATTCCCCTGACCTACCTTCGCACGTACAGTTGGTGCGGGAGGTACTCCAAATGTTACACAAGCTGTTCACTAAACTCTCTAAATGTGATTTCCACAAAACAGCCATTGATTTTCTGGGGTACCAGGATTTCTGACAAGGGGATTGAAATGGACCCGAAAAAGGTCCCGGAAGTCTTGGGGTGGGAGGCCCCTCACACCCGTCGCCAACTGCAATCCTTCCTCAGAATTTCGAATTTTTACTGAAATTTCCTCCCCAACTTTGTCCAAGTTAGCCTACCCCTAACTGACTTGTTGAAAACTAAAGGGAAGGGCCGGGAAGCTACCAAACCAAGTGCAAAACTCCAGTGGACGCCCGAGTGCCAGGAGGCATTCAAGCAGCTCAAATCCCTATTCACAGCGGAACTGGTGTTGGCCCACCCTGATGAGGGGGGAAAGTATATTGTGCATGTCAATGCTTCTGACATCACCATGGGGGGGGTGCGATCCTGCAAGAGGGAGACGATAAACTTTTGCACCCTCTTGCTTATGTCTCCCGAAAGTTTAATGAGACTGAATGCAATTGGTCCATTTGGGATAAGGAGGCGGGAGCAATCCAGCTGGCTCCCTCAACATGGAGGCACTGGCTGGAGGGGGCAAGGGGGCCTTTCAAAGTGTGGACGGATCATAAAAATCTGGAAGTGCTCAAAACCCCTCGTAATCTCAATGCAAAGCAATTACAATGGGCTGGTTTTTCCCCAAGTTCCAGTTCATTTTCCTGGCTCTGCCAATTCTCTGGCCGACGCCTTGTCCCACCTCCCCCAACACGACAGCCAACGAGAGATAATCCTTGACTCCATGTTCACTCCCACCCACCTTGGGGTGTGGTGACAAAGCCACGCCACATCCTCCGCCCCCCCCCCCGCTAGGCAAACCCACCTCCTCCCCTTCGATTTGCCCTGGCGGGTCAGCCTAAAACATTTGGTTTATCTCTGCCTTTTCAGATGACCTGAAAAGTGGGTCTGGAGGGGGACCTGGAGGGGGTGCTTGAATTGAGGCCGGATGGGTGTTGGTATCACGCCAACAAACTGTTTGTCCCCAAAGCTTTACAGGGGGAGGTTTTGGCTTCGGTGCACGGCTTGAAGTTAGCGGACCACTTGGGGTTTGTTAAATCCCTACATCTCTTACAACGGCAGTTTTGGTGGCCACACATGCGCAAGGACCTCTCGTCTTTCAGCCAGTCATGCCAAATGTGTGTTATGTCTAAACCCCAGCCGGGAAAGGCTTCGGGACTGTTGCAACCCCTCCCGACTCCAAGTCGGCCATGGGAGGTTATCTCCATGGATTTCATTACAGATCTGCCCCCCAGTAGAACAATGACTCTTATTTGGATAGTTGTAGACCTGTTCTCCAAACAGGCTCATTTCATTCCCTTTGCCTCGCTGCCCACAGCCAAGACTTTGGCGAAAGTGTTTCTGCAACACGTGTTACGCATTCACATGCTCCCGTACAAAATTATATCAGATAGGGGGACGCAATTCGTCTCTAAGTTCTGGGGAGAACTCTTGGAACTCATGGGGGTGGAGCGGCCGTTAAGCAGTAGCTACCACCCAGAGACTGATGGGCAGACTGAACGTGTTAATCAAACTCTGAAACAGTACTTACGTTGCTTTACCAACTACCAACAAGATGACTGGGTGGACTTGGTGCCCCTGGCTGAATTTTGCTACAACAATTTGTGTCATTCTTCTACGGGTGTGTCCCCTTTCAAAATGGTATATGGCTATAATAGCCCCCCTGTCCCATTCCTCGTGAACAATGTCTCGGGGTCGAGTGATGGTGTGGAGTGGTGCCAAAGACTGAAAGACTCCTGGCCTCTTTTATGCAAGACATTGGATGTTGCCAAAGAGGCATATAAAGCTCAGGCTGACAAGAGAAGGGTGGAGGGTTGGGCTCTGCAACCTGGTGACTCTGTTTATGTGTCTACTAAAAACTTTAAGGTGTTGCGCCCCAGCCGCAAATTGGGTTGGAAGTTTAAAGTGAAATGCCTCATTAATGAGGTGGCTGTGGATCTGGACCTCCCGAAAAAATTGTGCAATGTTCATTCTGTGTTTCATTTCAGCTTATTAAAACAGGCCCCAGTGTCGAGCCCTTGACATCCTACGAAGCCGATCCCCCCCCCCTTTGATGGTGGAGGGCGAAG